TAGTATTGAGTGAATCAGGGTTGCATACTGAAAAGTCATGAGAAGCCAAAGGAAGAAGAAGGAGGATTTTCCTGACTCACACTAAGGTGTACATCGAGGTGAAGACTTCAGCGGAAATTGGCTCGAGAGTCTGTTGGTTCACACCGGGCACTCACACCGGCTTCTACTACCCGATGTGACCATTTCTAGCCTTCTATAACTCCAAAACCCAAGTTCATGGAGTCAAAGGAGAGAACCACAACAGAAAGGAGTACAACAGCAAAAGCAAGTGCTGCTTAGAAAGGAAAGAGGCCAGAGCTTCACGACAGTGGCTCTGATTCAGAGGAGCAGCATCAGTCAAGACCTAAGAAATCCCCAGGAAAATGGGCAGATAAAGGGAAACAGAAGAAAGGTTCAAAAGATACCCCCAACCTCACTGCTGATCAGCTCTACAAAAAGGTCATGGAGATGGCTTTCACTGGAACCAGATATACTGACAAGGAGCTGCTTAGTTACATTGGCATCCTGGAAGAAGTTGAGTTGCTCTTCAAAGAAATAGAGTTGGAGAAGTTCTTCAACATATATGGTTTATCCTTCCCACAAGACTGCTACTTGTCAGTTCATCTCTTCACTAGGGGTGTTCTTCTATGAAGATGGTGAAGAGGAGGATCCTGTGTTTGGAGATGGACATATCAAATTCAAGGTGGGAAGAACCATCCACCAAATGGGATTCAACCAATTGAATGAAATCTTTGGGTTCACAGCTGGAACTACAAGGAGCACCCAAATGGACCTTCAAAGGGGTGAGCTACCATGAGTATAGGAACAGATAAGTGTGTGTGTGTGTGTGTGTGGGGGGGGGGGGGGGGGGGGGGGGGGGGAGTACAATCCTAGATATTGCAAAAGTGCTAGAATTTGACATCCTTCTATAAGATATGCACAAGGTGCGTGCAATGTGCTTGAGGAGGAGATGGCTTTCTTGTGCAGGGGTTTGTAGGATACTCTCATGAGTGTAATAAGGACATAAAACATCAGAGGGGACCTCTCAGGAATGGGGTTAGTGACTGAAGTGATTCTTGGCTGTCAAGAACTGGATAGCCACTATAACTGATTCAAAGCCTAAGATTAGTTCTGGAGGCCTCATCACACCCATCTTGGAAGCAGAATATGCTTCTCTTGCTGAGCCATCACACTCCCCTGCTTACATTGACAAGGACTATTTAGCCAAGGCCAAGTTCTTTGCTGGATGCTTGGAACAGAGGCCTGCTTATCAATTCCACGTTAGCCTCACACTACAGAAAAATATCCTGCTACCCACTACATGTGAGTACATCTCCTTTGCCTCCCTTGCACTCGCCATGTTCAACCCCACAGCAGATATTCTTGTGAACCCAAGGAGAGATCCACCACTTGAGTGAATCAGAGCCAAATCCAAAGCAGCAAGTGGACCTGCTGTGCCACCTGAAGCCTTTGAGGAAGAGCAAGGCCATGAGCAACTCTATGGCAGTGCTAGGTATCACTTTGATGCCTACAATAGTCAATCCCCAATGAGGCAACAATGACGGCTCACAAGCACACTTCTCTCCTCCACAGGTGGAATAAGTGGCAAGACAAAACAATCAAAAAGCTTGTCAAGACCATAAAGCGGATGAAGAAGGACATGAAGAGCATGGAGAAGGAGATTCAAAGCTTAAAGGCCAAGCTTGGTGAATCATCTGGTGCTCAAGAGGATGACCAAGGAGAGAGCCACATGGTTGAAGAAAGGAGTCACTCCTTTAGAGAGCCTCCAAGGGAACATGAGGAAGCTGAGCCACCTAGAGTCTCATCCTATGAGCCACTCCAACAAAGGAGGAAGAGGCGTGCTACACATTCTCCACCCTCCCTCTCTAGCAACTTCTCAAACTTCAGCAATTACTCTTACTCCATGGACACCTCCTCCTCTTATGGAAACTGAGGTACACTCCTCTAACCATTGTACATACCACTATTGCTTTTTATTTTCTTTATTTTACATTAGCTTTTTGGATATTGGCTTCTCTTGTACTTTTATTACACAAGAGACTGTATAATTTAAGTGTGGGAAAGAATATGTGTAAAAGAGCTACAATGGTGTTTCTAGATTTTATTTTGTAGAAGATGACTAAAGAAGAGAGACAATGAGAAAAGGTACAGAGTGTGTCCAACTATTTCCAAAAATATGATAAGAGAGGTTTATATAGAGTGGTCCCAAAAACTCTCGGCGTTGCCTAGTCAGCAAGCGTGGGATAGATCCGAGGAAAAAAGCAATATTGCTTATCTTCTTCCGTGTCACGACTTTGTCCCGATGCGACTGTCCGATGTTGGTTTCTTTTTGTTTTGCATCGGTGCGAAGCCGTTGCGGTTTCCTGATGTAAAGAGGGAAAATGTCTTAGTTGCACGGGCTTTGTTCTATCGGGGTCATCTCGTTGTATGCAACCAATGTGAAATCCTTATGCCATATGTACCGGGTTGAAACCACTGCGGCTATCCATTGCTTCGCGAGAAATCATCTACCTCCTTCCTCCTTCACCTTGTTGACTTGCGGGTCACTCCTCAGCTTCTCCTAGTTAACTTTACCTCCTTAAGTACCTAATAAGGGATATGCAGAAATGGAAGAAATATATCTTAAAGCCTGCTAATCCTAATATGCAATTGGGGTTGAAACTAAGGAAAATAAGCATAAATGGACCCTAAACTATAACAAAAGTATGCGAGAAATCATGCAATATATATAGATATCAATCATGTGGGTGCTGGTGCATGGGAAGATGTTTTCAAAATAAGCATAAATGGACCCTAAACTTAACTCGCTTCTGAAATTCCAAAACCAATACCACCCTAATTAATGGTTTATTGATATTGTTCTTTGATCGTATATATTTTTTCTGTGAAAGAACACTATAAATGCTGCATGATCATTACCAAAAAAAGGATTGATTACATCACTTAAAATGTATCACAATACTAAATGATATAAACTTTAAATTACTTATGAATAAATGATACAAAATATATGTTTTAACATCATTTATTATAATTGATGCTTTTATTGATTATTTAACTTCAGTTCAATAAAACTGTTACAAATTTATATTAGTTTACATCACTTAAATAAAATTGATATAAAATTATGTATTCAAATCAGTTAAATAATTGATATAATCAATAATTTTGGTTAACATCATTTCAAAATGATATAAATTTTATATCAGTTAAAACTGATGTAACTAGTTTTTCGTATTTTGTCTCACATCGCTAGTTGATAAAAAAATGAAAGAGAAAACATGTCTATATATATCAAAACTTAAGTACCTAATATTTATATTTGCTAGCCAATAAAATTAATTTCGAATTTTTTGGTCTTTCAAAAAATTACTGATTCATAAATTTTTGGATTAAAATAATAATATTATTATAAATATTTATGAAAATAATAATAAATTTAAATTATTTTTAACATCTGAATATAACTATAATATTAAACTAAACAAATTTTAACATTATTTATTATAATCGTTACAAATACTAATATCATTAATAAAAATTGATGCAAACGATAAAATCAGTTATTGAAATCGACACATATTGACATCGATTTTAACAATCGATGGAAAAATAAAAAATATTTGCATCATTTGATAGCTAATTGATGTTAATCATTTGCATCACCACATTCAGAGTCAGTTTTACAATTGAGGTAAAATCTGTTTGTGTCAATTATAACTAATACAAATACATAAAATAAGTGATATAATACACCAGTTTTTTTGTAGTGATCAAACTTGTAAATTTAGTAACTACAACTCTAGAATAAAACAGAGTTGTTATGTTCTGTTGCCATGATAAATATATAAACGGAGTTCAAGATACAGATATCATAAAATATTATGAGATGACCACAAATATAAAATCTGTAAAACAAATTAGAAGTTACATCAATTGTTCGAACAAGATTTAAAATCTTATGATCCTCGAGATATATTAGGGCATTGAAGTTTGGCTTCCTTATACTTCTTCTTCTCCAATTCAACTTCACTTTCAACTGTATTTTGATCTGACTCTTTGACATTAAATGGAACCTTCACCACCTCCATTTAAGGAACACCCGAAAACTGGTACAATGTAATGCAATCCCTCATTTAATAACAATACTATGAAAAACGTTTATTGTTGCACCTGTCTATCTACTTCTGCAAATCTATGGTTACAAATTTCAGATTTATTTTTTTATGATCTCTTGTTTAATTCTAGCTGTTGTTTTCAATAGACCTTCTAGTCTGCTCTTGTTTTTTTATATTACTGTATATGTATATTATATACTAATAATTTAGTACGGGTAATTGAGTTTATGATTTAATGCATATATATAATCTTTAATGTTGGTATGTCTCATTGAATACAATATATAATTCCGTTATAATACACTATCCCGAAGACTGGTAAGTTTCTAAATCGATCTTTTTTTTTTTTTTTGAACCATTAAATCGATCTTTTTGTGTTTTAGTTAAAACGAAATTTGTTTTCATCTGTCCCCTTAGCTTAATTCGTAGACTTATATCTCATGCTGGCAAATTGGTTCGTTCAGCTCGTATCCGCAACTTGTGGCTTACAAAACTACTAGATAACTAACTATTTAATTTTATTGTTATATTTTGCTGCAAAACTCCTACTATTATTTCAAAAGACATTTAATTCACGTAAACAATACGATGCAACTTTAGGTTTTTTCTTTTCTTTATCTCATATTCTCATCCTACGTAGCTATTGTCAATAGATATCAGATGATCTTATCTGAGTGCAGCAATATTAATTACATACTGTCCAAGACAGCAGAAGATTATTAAATAATGGTCATAAATTGTGACCCGCTTTCACTTCCAAGAGCTTATTGAAATTTAATTAGCCTTTTCTTGAATATAATTTTGGGAAGGAAGTAGGAATGGAGCGTTGGATATATTTATACACATCTGAGGATTTTAAATAAGGTCCCTCTGGTTGCAGTAATTGAAGAGGCGAAACTTTGAATGCACGTCATGCATGGGCAGTGTAGGCCCATTAATTTATCGATTTTTTAATAAATTATATTCAAAAATATTCTACTGCCTCTATAAAATGCCTTCGAAACAGTTTGGCCTACACAAATATAACCATTTCGTACGTATTATATCTACGTGATGTTAGAATTTCCAGACAAAGGAACAAGCGCTTGCTGTTTACTGAAGAAACGAGAGCTTGCTGTTTCTTATCGCATGGAATCTGAAGAAACTTTTAAAAAAAGAAAGTGCAACGAATTATTAGCAGATAATAATCTCCTCGATAGAGCCGAAGCTTCTTCCTTTGATCAGAAGGTAAACTTATATTTGATGTTGTAAAAACTTTCTATGTCCAAAGGCTTTAAAACATTTGAAGATTATGTGCAATTTCTTTAATTTGTTGAAAATATAGGATATATCGTAAGAAGACTTTTTGTCAAAAGGTCTTGAAACATTTGGAGATTCGATGCTAATTTTCGCCCAAAATATTCTAATATTATAAGATGAGTTTTAGAAAAAAAAAAAAAACCAGAGTCCTACTTTGTGGACATATTCAAAAATCTTTATAAAAAGTTCTTTTACGATTGGTGGGCCTATACATTCATTTAATTAGACATCATTGAACATATATATGACTTCGATTAGAAGATACATATGATCTTATAAAATCTTGAATCTTATGTTGCAGAGAAGAAAATACAGTGAAGATTCAACAAATATGAATCATAATTATGTCGATGAAGGATATCATCACAACCGCATGAGCCTTGATCTTAAACTCAACTTGTCGCCTTCTCTCATCGATCTAAATCATCATCATGATCACGATCTAAGTAATTACAATAAAAATTATGAGAAAGAGGAAATGAAGAAAAAGGTTATACAGAAGGGTTCGGTGTTGGAGCTAAAAACACGGAAAAGCATGGCATGGGTTGCTTTGGACCTCGACGACGACGGTTTCAGTGTTAAAGGCGGTGGCGGCGAGGATGAGATGGTCGCCAAAGTATGTATGAAGTGTCATATGCTGGTGGTGTTATCTAAAGCTTCACCGGCATGTCCTAATTGCATGTTTATGCATGCATTCACCTGATCTCTCTCACTTCTCAGTCTTCTCTTCACTCCCAAGCCTACTCTGCTAGCTTAGTTAATAGTTGTTATTTTAAGCTTCTAATCATATCTATATCTAATCACTAATTAATGCTTAGTATTTAATGTTTTTCTTCCAACAATATTTTGTATGTTATTGAACCTCTAATTAATACTATAGGATCATTATTGTAAATTTGAGGCTGTTGAAAAAAAAAATTATTATAGAAAAAAAGTGTATTTTCTACATAATGCAAGATATTCAAGATAATCTCCCCCTCCCTCCAAAACTGGTCAATACTTTACTCCATATAAGGAAACTATAAGCACATTGCCCACCAGCACCTCACATAAAAACTTATTGACGGCCACATAAGCTACCAAGAGCCTAGAACCACCAGATCAAGTTAATGCTTGCTTCAAAACCAAAGAAGAATCAACATTGAAGAAACTTTCTTTTTCTAAACAAGATTACTTTGCTTTCAAGAAAAGTCAAAGCAACGATTACTTTCATCAATTGATATCGCTCCTCCATTCAAGACAGAAGATCCTAGACCTCCATACAACTCTGAAGACCTAAGGAATCACACCTCTTTCACTGTCTCAATCCAAGCCCCATCTACATTATTGCCAAATGGCTAGAACAATAACATCTATTGACCTATGCCGAATTATTTGCTTCACCGTTAAAGGTCTTGCTTATTTGAGCATTATATAAGCTTTTTGTTTTTGTACTTTTGATACACATTTTTATTAATAAAAAGTTATTTTTTTTGTTTTTAAAGATTCATCTTTGAATTAAATATGTTCTTATGAATTTTAAATGTCTTTGTAGAATCAAAGTCCTTAGAAAGGGTTATTTGCCACTAGACTAAAAATACTTTTATACAAATAACTAAATAAGGGTTGAAATTTCATATATAAATATTGGACCACAAACCCATGGTTACTTTGTTTGGGCTCATGATCGGCTCTTATTATTGCGCATCAAGATAAAATGTGATGAGGACATCAAACTCAACCTAACAGGACCAGACGATGAAAGCCACACCAGAGCTAAACGGGATCATCATTCTTTTTGCACCAGAAGTTCAAGAGAGCTTTTTGTCGAATTCAATGGGATTAGAGACTTAACACTAAAGCTTCATCATACAACGTATCAAAGGAAAATATTTTGGTCGAGCCAAATCACTCCTGGTTCATATCAGAATGTAAGAGCTAGGATAATCGCTTTAGGATTGAATGGCAACAGTGATATCTTTGCTGTAATTAACCATGCTTATTGAAGAATTAATTTATAAATTTATTTGTTCCAGGATATTTATTGCCCAACGTAGAAAAAAGAGATTCCGCTTTATTTCTTCCTCAAATATTTCTTTAATAAGCTGGTCATGCTCATATGTATTAGTTGTGCAGTTTATATTTAAACTCTTAGAAATCAGTATCATCACATATAATAATACTTTATAATTCGTTTCGCATTATATTTGAAAGATGTTGTTCATTATTTCTTACAGGAATTTTTTTAAAACAATTTTCATATATCTTCTATATGCTAAAAGAGAAGCATTTTTAAAGAATAACCTTATTTATTTACAGTGGTGCCATTATGCTGATGTGTCAACCTCACATTTATTTTCAGCTAATTTTTTAAAAAATACTTAGATTACTAAACTAATTACATGATTTGCCATTGTATATTTTAGGTCCAAAATATGTTATATTTTATATTTTTAAATGAATTCAAATACAATAATATTAGAATTAATAATTTAATAAAATAAAAATTTTTTAATGCTAATTATATAATATATACGAAATTTATTATAGAATAATTTTAAAATATTATCCATGTATATTTTATTATAAATTCATAATAAAATATATAATATTTTTCAATGTTTACTAATTTTATCATTCATAGCAAAACATATAATACTTTTAATGTTTACTACTTTTTAAAAAAATATGTTTATTGAATATTCATAAAAAAATATTCTTATAAAAACAACTGAAATTTTAAAAATAATATTTTATTTTCGTCAAATTCATATCAAACTATATAACACTTTACTAATGTTTACTACTTTTACTAAAAATATGTTTATTAAAAATATTCTTATAAATTCAATAGAATAATTAAAAATAATATTTTATTTTTTCAAAAATCAATCAGAATAAATAAAAGAAAGCCATAATGATTTTATTCACATATTGTTGTAATTATAGTATGCATGAAAATAGTTGTGAAAACATATATAATAATTTAAGCTAAATATTTTTTAAAAAATTCATAATAATATTTATAAAAATATATGTTATTTTCATCACAAACATCAATTAAAAGAAAAAAGTAATAGTGACGAATTTCCAAAATCATTATGATATATAATATTAATATTCAGATTTACTATATAAGAAAATATGATATATTGCATTATGGTTTAATTTATGTATGATTCTTAGATAACAGCTATAATATATAGCATTATTGCTTACTTTTTTTTGGTAAGATAATACCAATATAAATTGTTTATATTTTTAATTAATATTTGATTCATATATATTATCAAATTTTCAGCAAGATTTGTTCATAAATTTTTCTTTTCTTAGTTTGTCGGCTTTAAATCAATCAATTTAATTAATGTAAATATTTTATAAATTGATAATATTGTGATTTTAATATTTTATTAATTTATATAATTATAAATTTATCGATTTAGAATTAAATAGAATTAAAAACTATATTTGTTTTAAAAATTAATAATATCTTTAAATATTTCACTTTTAAATTATAAATAAACCATAACATTATTTTAATTTTAAAAAAATTTATATAAATTTAATTATATTATATTATATAAATTTAAAATTATATTAAATTTAAATAAATAATAATTATTTCATTTTACATGTGCGAGTTATTATCTAGTACATAGGTTTTCTGGTGCTAATGAGACATATCCATAAAATCAGAAAGGGAAGAGAGCCGAAAATGAATGACACTATCATTTCTCACTTGCATGACAAGTGGATAAGACATACGTAGTGCCTCACTTGCCTCTCGATAAGTGACACTCGTTGGTCGCTGAGACTGCATAATTCGACCAACAAAAAAAGAACGGAAATTTTTCATATTTTACTTAACAGCTAACATATTTTTTTTTATATAGTTTCATTTTTGTTAGAATTCTATCATAATATTTTAATTTTTTACTCAACAGCTAACGTATATTTTTTTAAGATTGAATAACTATATGTCTACTTATCATTTCACAAGATTGTAACTACTCCTTTGTAACTATCGGAGAAGTGAAATATTATAATTGTTCTAACAAAAAGGAAACTACAAAAAACGATATATACCTAGAATTCATCTTATGTTCAATACAAAGAGGAAAGATAAATGATTTAAATTATAATGAAAAAAAAAAGATTTTTATTCACATTCTTTTTTATGTATTTATAATTTATGTATTATCTTAGTCATTTATAATCATTTATTTATGGTGCATGTATTATACAAACAGCTTTTATAAATATAAAGAACTAATGATATGTACTATGGTGATAAAAATAATAACTAAGTTTAGTGTCTAATTATTATATGGATTAGACAAGTGTCTATGAGATGGTACGAGATAGATAACCACCACTTTCTTAACACTTTCTCTTGAGTATCCATCAATATGACGTTAAAACATTTCCTTTCGAAAAATTCAATGGGACAAAAACCATGATAAAGAGAAAAAAAGTACAGCAACAGCAAACTCCCACTAGAAAAATGGATCTCATTTTCTCTTCACAGATCCCGAAGATGTCGCATTCCAATGTAGTAAACATGTTTCTTGAACATTGTAGTTGGAAATGCATTTGTGAAAAGATCAGCCGCATTGTCACATGAGCGAACATACTAAATATCCACCTCTTTACTTTTCTCAAATTCTTGAGTGTAGGAGAAAAATCTTGGAGGGATATGTTTTGTTCTGCCGCTCTTAATATAACCTTCTTTGAGTTGAACAACGCACGTTGCCTTATCTTCAAATATTTTTGTTGGCTTCTTATTGATGACTATTCCACTTGCCTCTTGGATATGATTAGTCATAGATCTTAGCCACACACATTCTCTAGAAGCCTCATGAAGTGCAATGATTTCTGCATGATTTGAAGATGTAGCGACCAAAGTCTGCATTTGTGAATGCCACGAGATTGTGGTCTCACCAATTGTGAAAACATAGCCGGTTTGTGATCGCGCCTTATGCGGATCTGGTAAGTATCATGAATCTGCAAAACCAACCAGACCAACCTCGGGGTTTCTAGGATAATATAATCTGAAATCAATCGTACGTTGAAGATAACAGAACATATGCTTAATTTCATTCCAATGTCTGCGCGTTGGTGAAATTGATAGGGCTCAAGTTTTACCCAAATAAAAACTGCTGCAAGTGCACAGCAAAGCAGTCGTAGTATAAGGGGTATCGAATCCCAATGGAGTATGTAAACTACACTATCAATTATAGGTTCAAATTAAGCTAAGCAATAAATAGTGTATGTAATGCGAATGACAAAATAAAAGAAAGCAAACGAAATTTGGTTGTTGATCTAAGTTTCAGAAGACTAAAAGCGCTAAGTTAGGACAATTCGCAGGTTGAATCCGAGAATGTAGAATGCATGAAATCAGGAATAATTAAGAACCGTCTTGAAAATGAATCGCAAATATATAACTAATCAATTCTCATTTCAGAAGTTAATTATGCCTAAATCACAGAGTTTCAAATCTCTTTTCAAACCCTAACAATCTAAACATGCAGTAATGATCAGGTTCAATTGTTCACAAAACTCCTAAGTCAAATCTCTTTGCACTAAGTTGTTTTTCTCATCTAATGCTAGATCAGGTTATCAATAATGCTCTCACATGTATAAAACAACCTATGATTTTTGGATTTCTAGATGATGTGTCTAAAAAATCGATTTTGAAGCAAGCAGAGATGAAGAACCAAAAGATAATCCTAACAGATAGCAATTCTACAAACTCTTCATCGACCTTTGAAAAGCCCTAACTTAACTAGCAAATTACTCAGACATGATCATGGAAACAGAAAACATAGCTAAATAAAATTGCATTGAAAGAATAGAATAAAAAAACAAAGGGGGTTCGAAATCTACTCCAAAAAGAGTACATGATCTATCTCCCCAAAAGCTCTGAATAAAAATCCTCTCTAAAGCTTTCTGAATTCTAAAATCTA